CTCTCTCTTTCTACTAAGCGTTATTTTATTTAATTAGATATGACTCACATAAAAATCTTTTTTTTTTTTTTTCTTATTACCGTACACAATAATAATAATAATAATAATAATAATAATAATAATAATAATAATAATAATAATAATAATAATTAATTTAATAAAAAAAAAAATAGAAAAAAAAAAAAAACAAAGTAATACATTTAACAATAATGTATATTATATATATATATAAGGGGACAAGGTGTATCAAACGCCTGTTATCAACAGTGCACAGTTAATAATATTCTTTTTCTCTCTCTCTCTTTCTCACTCCCCCTACTCCCCTCCCCCTTTTTCTTTTCTCTCCTCCCTCTATCTCCCCCTAAAATTTACTGACCCAAATTTAATCAATCGAAAAAAATTATTTTTTTTGTACAAAATTTTTTTTTTTTTTTGTTAATTGTGCCATATTTAATTATTGGTCCTTTTTTTTTTTTTTTTTTTGCATTTATCTGATTCGAACGTGTGTGTGTGTGTATGCGTGTGTACGCGTGTATGTGTGTGGGTGTGTGTGAATACTTAAAAGTCGATAAAAAAAACAAAAATAGATAGATGACTTTGAGAGAATTATTTCAAATTATTATTCTTTTTTTTTTTTTTTCTCTTCCTCCTACTCCTCCAAAAAAAAAAAAAAAAATTCGTGATCGTTATTATTATTATTATTATTATTATTATTATTATTATTATTATTATTATTTTCCCCCGGGTTTTAATTTCAAAACTAAAATTCATTAAAGCAAAACGAAAAAAAAAAAAAAATTTTACAAAAATAGAGAGAAATTATGACAAACAAACAAACGAACAAACAATATGGCCCCAAATCTATACAGGATAATCATTATTATTATTATTATTATTATTATTATTATTGGGTAAAATTTTGCTTTTTTTTAAACGAAATACAAAAAAAAGCCGTAAAAAATCAAACTTGAATTAAGTTTAAAAAAAAAACATTTTGCTAAGGTTTACAATTACAATTACACTTTCATCATCATCATCATCATCATCTTCTTCTTTTTCATTTATATCAATTTTAACATTTAACACTTTGATAAATACTAAGGGGATAAAAGCTTTTTATTATTATTATTATTATTAATATTAATATTAATATTTTTTTCTTTTTAACAACGCCTTATTACAACAAATGACAAAAACTTTACACTCAATTTATTTTTAATAATTGAATACTGTTATACTAATAAAGAAATAATAATAATAATAATAAAAAAGGGGTGGGCATATTTTCATTTATTTAAATAAATAAAACGAAAAACAAATTAATAATAATAATAATAATTTTCTGAAGGAAAGAGAAAGCCAAAATTTTGTATATAAACTTCTCATACTAAATAATAATGACTCAGCCAAAAAAACATTAATTTTTCTTTTTTTTTACGTAAAATAAATATTTCATCTAATAATTATAATAATAATAATAATAATAATATTTATTAATATACGTATGTAAATCAAAGCTTTTTAAGAGAGGAGAGTCGGGGGGAAAAAAAATAATAATAATAATAATTTTTAGATATATTACAGAACAATTGAAACATTTTTAAAAAATTTCTTTTTTTTTTTTTAAATCGCTCCTAAAGCTTTTAGTATAATTCCAATTAAATTTAAAAAAAAAATTGGATAATAAAAACTGTTAAAAATACCATAAAAAAAAAAAAAAAAAAAAAAATTAACTTTACAACAGAAATAATAATAATAATAATAATAATAAAGATTTAACAAATGATTATTTGAAATTTTAGTACAAAACTTATAATCGTAGTTTTGATAGAATTTTTTTTTTTTTAAATGATGATAAAAGATTATTGACATTTATTCGATTAGAGCCAAAAAAAAAAGAAAAAGGGGGAAAAAAATACTAAATTTAATTTTATTAAACTGTCAATGCTCTAGAAATGCTTTTGCAAAATAATTAAAATTAAAATTAAATGTTTTTTTTTTTTTTTTTTTTTTTAGACGATTATTTACATTTTTCTATTATAGCTATTATATAATATTTTTTTTCACTTTTATATATTTTTTTTTTATAATTAATTTTTTAAAAATTTTTAAATTCTTTATACATTTTTCCAACAGAAGTCATACAGTTTTTTTTTTTTTTTACAACAATTTTAATTAAGAATTTTTTTTTTTTTTTTTTATATATATTTATATATATATATATATATTCGCAACAGGGTTCCATCGTGTGAACCTTTAAAACTTACCAATACTTTATAGGAATTTATTGTTGTGTATCCCCATGTGTCGTCTGATTGATTGAAAAAAAGCTCATGACAAAAAAATTGGTTAAGTTAAAATACATTTTTTCTTGAGTTTATCCTGTTGAACTGGGCATAAAACCGCTCGAATTGCTTCATCGAAAACCGTTTTTAATCCTTTTTGCGTGAGCGCACTACATTCTAAATATTTAACTGATCCTATTTCTTTGGCCATTGAAAGCCCCTATTTTTTATCACCAAATTATTATTATTATTATTATTATTCCTCATAAAGAGTTTAATTTTAAAAAAAAAAATGAAATAAATTTCTAACCTGCGGATATGATATGGGAGCTAATTTTTTTTCTTTAAGCTTTTCAATTGTTTCTTTGTCTTCTCTTAAATCTAATTTAGTGCCGACAAGAATAATAGGAGTTGGGGGACAATGATGTTTAACCTCAGGATACCATTTAGCCCTGACATTTTCAAATGATGCAGGATTAACCAATGAAAAACAAATAAGAAATACATCCTAAAATGAAATTAAATTTAAAAGGAAAATTTAACTCATTTTATAAATAAATAAAAATGATAATTTTGACTAAAATTTTGTTTTTAAACTTACCGTTTGTGGATATGACAGTGGCCTTAATCTATCATAGTCTTCTTGACCAGCTGTATCCCATAAACCCAAATTAATGGGTTTTCCATCTACCATTACATTAGCTGAATAATTATCAAATACTGTTGGTATATATTCTCCGGGAAAAGCATTGGTTGTGTAACTTATTAACAAACAAGTTTTACCCACAGCACTAAAAATAATAAGTTAAATTCAGTAAAATTTTTGGCATAAGTGTATCATAATATTAATAAAAGAGAATTCAATAAAAATAAATAAACGTAATTAAATTAAGTATAATGATATGCACGGTTGTTTTTATTAAAGTGACAATTAAAAAAATTGCGTTAAAGTAAATTACTTTGTGTGTGATTCAATAGCTATTGTATGTGACTTAATTTAGTCGTTATACCAACTGTAAGAAAAAAACAACGATTAAATTAACCTTGATTGTCTTTTATATTGATAAAGAATAATGAAAAGGTTTAATTATATAAAAAAAAAATAAGCTTATTAAAAAATAATAAAATAAAAATAAATAAATAAATGAATTTATTACGAAAGCCATTGAGGTTGGTCATTAAGCATCAAAGTAGGGGGGATACACTTTGCATATGAATAATAAATAAAATCATACAGATGATATTAATAATAATACATTTAATGATTAAGCTTTAAAACCTACATTAAAAATATAAATCATTTATAAAATTCTTACCCATCTCCCACCACAACACACTTGATAGCTTGCATTTTTTACTGGGTAAAGGCACAAAAATACTTTAACATTTATTAATGGGCGTGGAGGGAAATATGGCTGCAGACTGGCCACAATATCAAGGTAAATGTTTTTGTAGACTTATTAAGACAACTAGATTTGTAAACAAAGTTTTGAAACTTCGCTATAAAGCACAAATTATATTAAAAATATAACATCTATGGTATATTTACGAAATAAAATAAACTTTTTTTTTTTTTTTTAAATAAGTCTTTTTACTTTCGTTTTAATAAATATTAATTATAATTAATAAATATTAAAAGAAACAAAATTTTTTAAATAAAATAATACGTTTTGAAAACAAATTTATTTTTAAAACAAAAAAAAATTTTTTTTAAAATAATTTAAATTTTACTTAAAAACTTAATTTATTGAAAATTAAAGACATTTTTTATTTTGTATTTAATCAAGTAAAAGCGAGTAAAACAGATTAATTTTTTAAATTTTATTTTGAGATTTACGTTAATACATAATTTTTTTTAATAATAACGAATGTTGCATACCTCTATGTGAAAAATTTTTTATATTGGTCTATGAGTAAAGCCGTTCTGTTTGTCTACGCTTACAGCCACGTCACTTTTGGGAGTAATTTTGAAAATATAAACCAATAATGAATATATTTCGACTTGTAGGTGATCTATCACATCTTTTGGCTGTGATTATTTTATTAATTAAAATATGGAAAACTCGATCGTGTGCAGGTATATTTTTTTTAAATTTTATTTATGGCATGTGGAGCCGGTGCTTGTTTGTTTATCAGTGTAAAACAATGCTTCACTAAGAAAATTATTACTTAAAATTGTTTGAAAGAAAAAAATTTTAAAATAAACAGGCATCCCTTTTTTAAATACTTTACTTATTTTTAACTTATTATTTATTTTTTTACGATGCTCTGTCAAAAATTTTTTTTTCCTTATCTTGCCGAGAATATTTATTGTTCAAAAAAAACTGATTTTAATTCATCATTGTAAATCAGGTGAAATGTAGTAATTAATATTAATTTAAATCAGATTTATTTTAATTTTTAAGGTAATAATTCAATATATTGTTTTCATGCTTAATATGTGAGTAATAATTTCATAATTGATGTTGATATGTAGTAGTAACATCAAAGTTTCATACTTCCCTTTTAATCTATAAAATAATTGTTATTTGATATTGTTTTTTTATTTTTTTAAAAATATTTATTACTACAAAATAATTGGTAAATTAATCAATCAATTATTCAATCAGTTATCTCATGACTTTTATCGTTTTCAAATTTCAGGCATTTCAGGAAAATCACAGTTACTTTTTGCCATAACATACACAACTAGATATTTAGATTTGTTTACAACATATGTTTCCGCTTACAATACTGTTATGAAAGTAGTTTTTATTGCTGCATCCTATGCAACTTTATATTTGATGTACATTAAATTTAAAGCAACATATGATCATAATCATGATACATTCAGAATTGAGTTTTTGCTGATTCCATCAGTAGTATTGGCTTTATTAATTAATATGGAATTCTCAGTTGTAGAGGTAAAAACTAATCAATTTATTAAAATTTTCAATTACTTGTGTCAAAGATTGAATTTTTCTTATCTCAAATTGACTTGCCTATAGATATTATGGACATTCAGCATTTATTTAGAGTCAGTTGCCATTTTACCTCAGTTATTTATGGTATCTAAAACTGGAGAAGCTGAAAGTATTACTTCACATTATTTGTTTGCTCTCGGGTCATATCGTGGACTTTACATCCTTAATTGGATATACAGATACTATGCAGAAAATCATTACAATCTTATTGCTATTGTAGCAGGTGTTATACAAACAGTTTTGTATTGTGACTTTTTCTATTTATACATAACAAAAGGTACATAATAATTTATTTATTTATTTATTCATATAAAAATTTTGAGCAAAAGTAATACAATTAAATTTCATTTATTGTATTTTCAGTTCTTAAAGGGAAAAAATTACAACTGCCAGCTTAGAAAATAAGTTATTGTTTTGCATAAAATGGACAAAGTTTGTGAAATTTTTTTCAATATATATTTTAGTTTAAAAAAAAAAAGAAAAGAAATTACCAAATTAATTAGCCAAATAAATTAATTAATTTAAGCAACTTAAATATTGTCTTCTGTATGCTGTAAGTAAGTGATTTGTAAAAAAATGTCAATTTAATCCTAATTAAAAAAATATGATATTGATATTTTAAAAGGTGAAAAAGGGGGGGGGAAAAAAAGGAGATTTTGCTAAATAAAAAGTAGAAAAGAAGTACAAAATAATATTTATTATAAAAGTATTGCTATTTAATAATTGCAATAATTCTTTTCAATAAAAACATTTTTTTCATTAATGTTTATCGATTGATTTGAAAATAAACTCTGGTCAAAGAACAAGTTTTTTTATTTATTTGTTATTCAAATGAATCAATAAATAATCATTTATCTAAGAAATACATTTTATTTTCTAAATATTCTTATTTTACTTTATAGTCATTTAATTATTTATTATTATTGTTATCAGTATCAGATTGTCTATAATATTCGCAATTATTATTTTTTTTCGCTTTTTATTTGTTTAAAAAAAAAAAATTATACACTGGAAAATATTAAATGAATAATAATAATAATAATATTAAATTTTGTTTTTTATATGAAATATACATTTATTAAAAATCATTTTCTATTATATTGTTGTTAATAATTTTTTTTTTTTATTCGAATCTAAGTAATTAGATTGATACACATATTTCGAAACTAATTGTGTGATAATTAGAAAAAAATTTTTAAGACAAAATATTATATTTGCTGCACAAAATTTATATTTTGGCACGTTTTGATTACAAATTGTTTTTCATTGTCTAATTCTTAATGAAAAAGTGCATAAAATTTATTTTCAGGTGAAGGAGAAAATCTGGGATAAATTATTTTCATTCTGGAGTTATTCACAGACAGGAGTCATGTAAATAAATCTTTTATTGAAATTTTTTTTTTTTTTTTTGAATTCAATAGTCAAAATGCTTAGGTTTTTTTTTTTTTTTTTTTGAAAGGTATTATTTTTGCTCAGTCATATAGTGTTGATAGATTAATTCTTAATAATTGTCAATTAAAAAAATTGAAGGTCAAGTATTAAAAAAAAAAAGCTTTACAGGGCGCTTGTTTATTATAAATAAATTCCAATTGCCAAATTTCTTAAATAAATTTAATTTCTGAGTGTGTAAAACTATAATTATTATTTTATAAATTAAAAAAAAATTGTTGAAGAATTCAAAATTGAGTTTTTTTTTCCCTTTAAATTAAATTGTATTATTATTATCATCATGAGCCTGATTGATGCATGTATTGTAGGGAAAACATGTCATTCATTTTTTTTTTTTTAGCCTAACAAACATATTATAAGAGCCTAATGGCAAATATGTATGTTTATGTTCAATAAGTTGAGGTCAATCAGTTTTTGAGGTTAATAAATAAACAATAGGCCTATTATTGAACAAAATAAAATTTATAAATTAATCATTTAAAAAAAAAAAAAATTATCCTAATAATTTCTGTCAAATTTGGTCATTGAAAATTTTTTAAAATTGTTTATGGTTACTAATCCTAAAATTTATTTAAGCTTCTATATAATGTTTTGTTAAAATATAATTTACTCAAAAACTAATTAGTAATGAATGTAACTAATTAAGGTTTTAAATTGCTTCTTTTTTTTTTTTGGTTGTCGAAAAAAAAAACAATTTATCATCGATTGATATTTGACCTCAACCTAAGTTTCATATGTTATTGTTCGTTTAATAATTATTTAATTAATTATACAAATTAAGAAAATTAAAAAAACTAACTATAATGTTTTGCAAATCAAAAAAAAAAAAATTACATAAGCTTTAATTAATTAACTTTATTCGACATAAATTCGTTATTTTTTTGTCTTCATTTTACAAAAATTTAAAAGGAAGTATAATTGTGTAGGATTTAATTTTTGATAATGAATAATAATAATAATAATACACTCTTATCATTTTATTAAAATAATCAATTTATTTAAAATTAAACTAAAAATTTATTTTCAAAAAAAAAAAATATTTGTATATCTATAAAAACACACGCGAAAAAAAAAAATTAAAATTAAATTTTTATTTATTTATTTTTTTTAATTAAAAATATAATGAAAAATAAAAAATTAAAAAAAAAAAATGTACAAGTTATCGATTTGAAATTTTAAGTATTTAATTTATAAAAAAAAAAAAAATTAATAATAACTTTTTTTTTTAAGAAAAATATTTAATAATCTTAAAAATCACTAAAAATTTTTTATTAGTTTTTCTATATAAGATACTATCAAACTTACATGAGATTGTTCCTAAAATAAAAGATATTAAAGGTTAAAATAATAATAATATTTTTGAAATTTACTAATAATGGGGTAATGACTTACTTCTAAAGTTGTATCACGACTTCGAAGAGTAATGATACCATCTTTAAGTGTTGAATTATTTAATATAATAGTATATGGAATACCTAATGCATCATTTCTTATTAGATGTTTTTCAATTGTGATTTGTCCGATATCAGGTAGTAATAGTACAGGTATTCCTAATTGTTTAATTTTTTTAGCTAAAAGCAATGTGAGCTCTCTTAAATTTTGTACATTATCAGATGTTATCCAATTTCCAGCGAAAGAAACTTTATAAGGTGCTAATGCTTTGGAAAATCTTAACATTTCCCTATCAGTATTTTCATTTAATTTTTCATAGGCATCACATAGGAATATGAATGCGGCTTTATCTAGCGATAATTCACTCGTTACAATTTGAGGTAAAAATTTTTTTTTCCCACTTTTCATCTGTAAAAATAAATAAATGGAATTAAAATTTTTTAAAAGTTATTTTAAAATTAATTAGTAAATATATAAGTACTTCGAAAAATTCAGAGTCAGATTTTAAGGTATCTGGTAGATATTTAATAACTTCAACAGCTTCTGTTCCCCAAGGAAATTCAGCTTTGATAACAACAAATTGAGAATTATTAGATTCATTACTACATATTTCAGATGTGCTAAATCTTCCTGGCAAAGCTGAAAGCTAAAAAAAATTTTTTTTTGTTTATATAATAAATCATGATAAAAAAATTAAAATATTGCAATAATACCTTTCTCCACCAAAGCTTATGTTCCCTTTGCATTTTATAAAAGATTTCTATTCCTTTCTCTGGCTTACATATAGTATGATTTTTTAATATTGTGCTATCACCATTTTCAAACTGATTTTTAACTAATTCAACATCATTTGCTGGCAATCGAATTTTGCTTTTATTATTAAGGTGATTTGTATTTAATTCAATAAGGCTAAATGGTACAGCTGAAACCATGCTTTTTACATTGCTGAATGCACTTTTAAATAATGAAATCGAATTCAAACAAGGAAATGTAAATGCTGGTTGATCACAAAAAATACTATTCGATACTAGCCACTCATTTTTAATAATTTGTTTCAGGTTTTCTGCATTGAAATTCAGTTTTAAAATCCCTTCATTACTCCTTGTCACAAAATGGTAATTTTCAAAATGTTTTAACATGCTTTGTACTTGACTGTTAACTTGGTTGGCAGTTTTAATTAATTTAACCGAATTCATTTTTAATTATTTTCAGATAATTTTTTTTTTCTTGGATAAGAAACTGATGAATCAGTGTTGATATTATTATTATAATTTTCTGAAAAATTGCTTTTTATATTTTCATTTTCAGCAACATAGTAATTTTCGACAGTTTGTTCACAATGAGACAAAAGTTCAGCTCTCGTTATTTCGTTTTTCTCAATGTCCTCCCTTACATGTAAACATCTAAAATATTAATTTTTCTTATTAAATCAATGAAACATTTTTTATTTTTTTAATAGATAAAACACAATTTGAAGAAAATCAGAAATTATGAGCTTGAAACAAAATTCAATAACACCTACTCGTCTTCTAAGACTGTAACAAGTGGTTCAACATTTTCTGTATTTACTTCAAAGATCTGATCAGCAAATCTGATGGCATCTTCCACGATTTTAACAGCTCTGTCATTATCAAAACCAACCAGTGATAC